AGGGAGAACTGGCCAAGGATTTAGCTCAGTGGTGCTGCCTCCTGCCTTGCAAGCACAAGGTCCTGAGTTTGATACCTGGTACCAAAAAATAAAAATAATTTAAAAATAAATAAATAAAAAGGGAGAACAAGTGCTTTATTGACAGGAAAATATTTTATATCATTTTTTCCTTAAACTTATATTTCCATTCCAAATTCTCCATTTTTTATTGATCACAGTTTCATAATTTTCCAGAACCAGCCAGATGTGGTGGCGTACACCTGTAATCCCAGCGCTCAGGAGGCTGAGGCAGGAGGATCACCATAAGTTCAAAGCCAGCCTGGGCTATATAGTGAATTCAAGTCCAGCTTGAACTACACAGTAAGACCTTGTCTTAAAAACAAACAAAAAACAAAAAAACCCTTAATTTTCCAGAACCAAATAGCTAAACAGACTGAAATTAAAATTTTAAAAATTTATAGAGACCATAACGCTCTGTTTTTTTAAAGCCAAATGAAAATATGCTACACATTTTCATAAATATTTAACATAAAGTAAAATTTTTTTGGCCTTTAGAACTCTTAGTTCATGTATCCTGTGATAAATATTATATATCAATGGATTTCATTCACTCTACTTATCTCCATTTATATATATATATAATCAGTATATATTGATTAACTGTTTAAATAAATATAAAAAGCAACTGTGAGATGAGAGCTATGCTCATTTACTTCACTGTATCAAATCATCATATTGTATAATTTAAATATCTAATAAATTTTAAGTATCTACTGTATCATAAATAAATGTGCAGAGAAAGCTGGAAGCAATTTGTATACAAATATCATCAACTCTGAGATTCTCAGTTTTATGCCAAAAATCGTTAGCACCTTAGTGATCTTCTATCAAACACTCCAGCGGCTCCTTATTCAGTTTTGAGATAGGTGAGGAAGGGGAAATGAGGCAGGACCTGGCTTTCCCAGGAGCTGCAGCTTTGACCCTCACCACTCACCCCACCTCTGAGCATTTTAGGACACATTGCTGGGTCCTATTGCAAATGCAGGTGACTGTCCCCCTGAGGGCACTGCCTCTGCCCCCGCAGGAAAGGGACAAGTGTGGGAGTGTGAACGCCCCTAGAACAGTCTCCACTCAAAGGCAAATGAGATTTGCAGGATAAATCCCTTAGCTTCCTGGCCTCTCAAGAGGGAGGGCCCTGAGGTGTGCTCTACACCTTCCAGAGTTCCCACTGTTTATTTTTTAGTATACCTTTAGTTAACTTTTACACAGATATAACTTTGAAATAACAATGAGACTCTGCTCGCGACCCCCATAGCGTAGGGTCCGAAGCCGGGGAGAGCGGTGGCAGATGAAGAAAATGGAAAAATATCAAAAAAGAAAGATACATACCAATGTGGGACTGCATGATTCCAAATTCAGTTATTCCCCTAGCCTCTATTGTACTTGTAAATTAATGGTTAAAATGTGCTTGTTAGTTCTGGGATAATAGATAAAATCTGTAACGAAACAAAGTTCCTAAGTAAATTACTCAACCCCTTGTTTGTCCGGAGAACGAATGTTCCCGGGCCCACTACCTGTAGAACAATCCATCAATGTGTCTGCTGACCATCAGTACGTGACGGTCGTGACCATTAGTGTATGTGTCTGCTGACCATCAGTACGTGACAATCGACCACTAACCTTTGTTCCTTTTCTCGTAACTCTACATGTTAACCTCCCCCTCAAGCCCCTATAAAACAGCCTCGGACTCTGAGCCAGTTGCCTCTCTTAGCTACTTTGTTTTGGGAGTGCCGTCTGGCCAGACTAATAAAGGTCTGTTTTATTTTTTCATCTTGTCCGGTATGTTCCTTCCCAGGTGTTCGTCGCTGCAGTCAGCTCCTCGGAGCGTTCGGTAAGGCCCTCAGTCTTACACCAAGATTATGCTTGAAAGCTGGGACCAGGTGGAACCATAGCCTGTTGAGAGCTAATGGCCGCTCTCAATGCGCTCTTGAGAGTCCAGCTCCCTCTTTCTTTACAGTGTAAGACAAACAGGAAGAGAAGGCAGGGTAGCTAGTGCTACATGGCCTACGTGGTGTAGGCTGAATGTAGCGTGATTGTTTTGTAATTGGGGCATGCGCAGAAAGGGAACAAGGAAGAAGAATGCATAACCTGTCTCCTGGGGGTGTGCCATCCAGGGGCTACACAGTCTGTTTAACTATCTAGTCTATGGAGGAGAAAGGGAATAGGGAGGAGGTGAAGGACCATCTTTTGTGGCAAGACTCTTGTTTTATTTTTATTGTTTTTATGTTTTGTTACAAATATATTGTTCTGGACGAGCAAGTTCAAACAGTAGAGATGAGCCACACTCTGACAGATTTGACCCCGTTTATTATAGCCGGCAGCCGAGGCGGGGCTAACGCCAAGAAAGTTTTCTTGGCAATGGGGAGCAGTTTGATTTCTCCTTTTATTTGTTTTTTGTTTTGTTTTGTTTGGTACCGGGGATCGAACTTGGGACCTTATGCTTGCAAGGCAGGCGCCAGAACCACTGAACTATGATTTCTCCTTTTAAATCATGCTTTGAGCTGGGGAGGGCTCAGGGGAGAGCAAGCGGAATCCTACAGAAGCAGAAACATGCCAGGTTAGTGGGGTATACAAAGAAGTTTCATGCACACTAGGTGAGCTACAAAACGTCCTGCAACTGTAGCAAGCTTACTGCCAACCAAGATGTGAGGGTTTTGGGTGCTTTGTTCATGTGCAAGCACTTTGTTCAAGCACAGGTACAAAATGGCATCGAGGCACAAGATGGAGTCGGGTTGGCTATCACAATATAACAGCCTTAATTTGGCAAATTCTGGGGCTCTTTGGCCCATATCAATTGAAGCATATATTAGAACACTACGTATACTATGAAATCCTAGAAACATGTAAGTTTATTGAATTAAAATCTTGGAAATGTCATACTCTTTAATATATTCCTGTAATATAACGAAGTCAAAGGAATCCAGTGTGTTCTTAGCTTGCTTCTCTTTCTATCCAGCCCCTCTCCACCAAAAAGAATTTCTCTGTTTTCACTGTAACCCACACAGATTTGAAGGAACATGGAGTTTAGGCGGGCCACATATTTATTAACTAACACTTTCTAATTAGGATTTATTAATACCTGCTACTTACACCAAGGAGCATCTTTTTTTCTTTGTGGTACTGGGGATTGAACCCAGGGACTTCACACTTGGCCCTTTTTGTTTTTATTTTGAGACAGGGTCTCACTGTGTGGCTAAATTACCCATGCTGGGCTCAAACTTGCAATCCTCTTGTCTTGCCTCAAAGAGTGCTGGTATTACAGGCATTTACCACCATGCCTAGATGTAAGGAGTATTTTGATCTAAACTCTGCTCACCTCGAAATTGAGATCTGCTCATTCCTTAAAGAGCTTGTGGTGATTTTCTTTTTCAACTTTATTTTCAAGACTTCAGGTACACCAAGTTGAACTCCTCATCTTCCTTGGTTCATCCCTCTTAATGGCTTGTATCTAGATGTTCCCCCAAAGCCTCATGTGGTCATAGGTGGGGCTTTTTGGAGTGGTTGGATCTAGGGTGTGTGAATGCGGATAAAGGGTGCAATACTGGGATTAAGGGTGTGTGCTACTGGATTAGTCCACTAATTGGTTTATCGTAGTTCTGGGTGTGAATAATGGGAAACACCACCCTGTGTGTGGATGGCATCACCCAAAAGGCTTGTAGCCTGGATGGGATAAAAGGGAAGGGAAGGCTTGCTTCTGCTGCTTCAATGCTTGGTGTCTGTTGCCTCCTCCAAGCCCTGCCTTGAACTGCCTCTCCTCTTGATGTCCCTCTGCCATGTGGCCCTGCCTTGTAGCCAGCTGACTGTGGACTTAACCCTCTACAAACTGTGAGCTAAAATAAATCTTTTTTCCTTTAACTTTGGGTATCAGGTATTTTGTTCCAGCAATAAGAAAGTAACTAAGATAACCCCTTTTCTCATCAGTGGTCCACATTTTGCCCTCGTTTTGTATGCTCATGTGTTTATTTGATAATGCTATAGGGAATAGTCATGAACCCTATCCAATGAGAGAACTAATATTTGGATAATAACTTCCATCTTCTATGTCTCCCTACCTAGCCCATGTCCTCCTGCGTCTTCCCCCTTGATGTAGCCACAATTTTGAATTTCATGGCTTTTTTTCTGGCTGATTTACTTTTGTCATACATATAGGCATATAAACAATATTATGATCAATGTTTTAAGTTTATTGTCATTTATTTATTTATTTATTTATTTCAAAGTTTTTACAGTTTATTAGTCCTCTCGTGAAAAACCCGAAGTCACTGCAGACAGGCATTGCAAAATCTTTACTCCTTTGGCTGTTCTCCGATCTCCAGTTCACTTTTTGCCAGCACCAACATTGGCCTTTGCGGTGCCCCTGACTTTCTTCATTCTGTTCTTGCGTTCCTTCCGCTGCTTTCTTGATGTCTTTTTTCCTTCTCATACGGGCCGTGTCTTGCAAGTCTATGTTTGGGTTCATTTTTCTTCGCATAATCCAAAGAATCATAAATCATGCCGAAGCCAGTTGTCTTGCCACCCCCGAAATGGGTTCTGAATCCAAATACAAAAATGACATCCGGTGTAGTCTTGTACATTTTGGCTAGTTTTTCCCGAATTTCTGTCTTGGGTACTGTTGCTTTCCTGGGACAAAGGACATCAATAACCATTTGTTTCCTTTGAAGTAGTCGGTTGGTCATGAGCTTCCGGGTCTGGATAGTTACCCTGTCATTCATGATGGCAACAGATCCTCAGGCAGCCAGGGAGGAAAAGCAAGTTTATTGTCTTTTAGAAAAAAATTATTAATCTGTTTGTACTGTTACAACGAAGTACCATAAACTGAGTGGCTTATAAGAAACAGAAATTTCCTTTTTTTTTTTTTTTTTTGGTACTGGGGATCAAACTCAGGACCTTGCACTTTTGAGGCAGGCAGTGGAACTACTGAGCTAAATCCCGGCCCCAGAAATTTCTTTTTTACAGATTTGGAGATTTAAGTCTAAGGTGCAGGCATAATTATGTTCTTGGGAGGACCTTTTTCTGGGTTTTGGATTGCTGTCTCCTTATATACTCACCTGGTGGAAAGAGAGCTTTCTAGTTCTGGCATCTCTTCTGATAAGGGTACTAGTCCCATTTTTGAGGGCTCCCACAGGCTCTTCCCCAAGTGCCATCACATTGGGATAAAGGTTTCAACGTGAGAATTTTTTTGGTTTTTTGAGGCAGCGTCTCCCTTTGTAGTTCAGGTTGGCCCTGAACTCACTATGTAGCCCAGGATGGCATTGAACTCACAGTGATCCTCCTGCCTCATTCTCCCGAGTGCTGGGATTACAGGTGTGCACCACCATGCCCATCTCAACATGAGAATTTTAAGGGACATATTTATTCCTTTGCAGATATACATTATATATAATCTGGGGGCTTTTCTTTTACTAAGAGGCATTCATATTTTTGTAGGTAACTGAGTCATTCATCTTCAGTGCTGTATACTATTTCATTGTGTGAATTAATCTGGCCTTCTGGACACCAGAGTTTAGGCTTTCATATTTCTTGCTTTAATGAACACCACTAAAGTGGATATTCACTTTTGTGTCTGTATTTCTTTGTGAGCACTTGCTGAAATTTTACTCCATTTATACCTAGGAATGGAATGCTGGTTGCAAGTTGTGTGACTTTTCAATTTGCAAGATAATTTGAGACTATTTTCCAAAGCAGTGGCAGCAATTTATACTGTAACCACCAATGTATAAATTATTCATCTATTCTCTTGAGTAGTTTCTGTTTCCAGATTCATGTTTTTAAGTGAATGGATATAAATTTTTATCTCTTCATAGTCTTGATTTGCTTTTCCTAGATTAGTTATGAGGAAATAATTAGAGGAACTGGAAAATAATTATTATCCATATGAAATTTAACTCAGATTTTTATCTTACATCAGACATGCAAATCAATTCCAGATGGATTAAGGACTCAGCGTTTTAAAACTATCAGTGAATGCCATTAGATTTTGAGGTAAGGAAATATATCTTAAATACTGGTCACAAAATAGCCCACTATAAAATATAAGTGTAATGAATTTGACTATATTAAAGTTTAAAACCTGTTTATCAGAAGACATGTTAAGGAAGGTGAAAACATAAGCTACAAACTGAAAGATGTATATCACACATAATGAATCTATATCAAGAATATCTTATGAACATGTACAATAAACTTGAAAAGGCTACAACCCAATAGAAAAATAGCAAAAGACTTAAATGAGTATTTTTCAGAAGAAGAAACACATAAGGCTAATACTCATGCAGAGTTATTCAATTCCAATTTCAAAATGCAACTCTTGAGAAAAACCAGGATACTTTAAAAACATAACTACAGTGTTTTTTCAAGTTAAGAGAAAACAACCATCTAGAAAAACAAACTTTGAGCCTAAACATTCTTAGGAAAAGCAACTAAAACTAAAAGCAAGTAGAGTGCTTACCAATTTTTTAAAAATATCTTCTTGTGCTGAGGATTGAACCCAGGGGCTCACACATGCTCGGTGAGGGTTGTCCCACTGAGCTACATCCCCACCCCTATCAATGTATTTTAATTTTACTCTGATTTTGTTTACCCTGTTGCTTTGCATATTGTTGTCACTCAACACTAGTTAATTAGTTCATTGACTTACTATACCTGATTTTCTGTAAGTCTAACTCTAATTTCTTTCAGACTGGAATCAAATGAGCACATTCTTTTATGACATTAATATACATTGTAGAACATGATCTTTTTCCTCTGAACTCTGTGCCCTGTTGGCCATAAGGATAAAGAATCTACTTGAAGGAAGAAATTAGATTTAATCTAAAAGGCATGGTATAGCTAAGCAGAGCCCAGACCTTGTGGTTGAAACCAAAGTGCTTAGTTGGCATTGCTTGGGAAAATTAGAGCAGAAAAGAGGATTGGTATGCCCACAGGCCTCGGTACACACTGATCTCCATGGCAACAGGATGTGATTTCATAAAACAGGCACCATGTTGCAAAGTGCCTTCAGAGAGCACTGGTTAAGGTGACATTTCAGAAAGCAGCTACTTCTTTGTATAAGAATGTTAAAATGTGCATCCATTGTATTTTATTTATGTATTCTACCCAGGAAAACCACTCATATTAATTTTTTTCCTGTGGTATGAGGGATTGAGTCCAGGAAGCACTGAGCTATATCTCTAGCACTTTTTATTACTTTTGGGGGTGAGGGGGAGGTGAAGTGTCTTGGTATGTAGTCCAGGCTGCCCTTGAACTTCTTATGCACCCAAGCCTGCCCTCAAACTCACAATCCTCCTACCTCAGCCTCCCAAGTAGCTGGGACTACAGGTATATATCCCTATGTTTAGTACACACCTGGCAAACTTAATATTTCTGAAGATTGCTCAGGAGGAGACTAAACAAAAATCGATAGACATAATATTCCATTAATACAGTGAATGTTTAAATTAAAATAATTTATTACAATAAAAGACACATTGCAGTTAACGTCCCCCAAAATACTCCTTGCTTTGGACACACTTATCTCATTGTTGTTGCCACGTTTTGAAGCAGCTCTGGAGGTCCTCTTTCGTAAGTGTCCTTAGTTGTGATGTTATGGGTGCTTCAATGTCCTGGATTGATCCAAAATATTTACCTTTGATGGTCATTTTGACTTTGGGGAAGAGTTAGAAGTAGCATGGTGCTAGATCAGGTAAATAAGGTTGATGAGAGGACATGTCATAATATATTTATGTGCCTGCCTTTGCATTGGATGGCATATGCTAGCAGCATTCACTATATTTTTTATTACACCTGGTAAAGACATTCATGAAGATACTCACTAAAGGTACTTCATAAAGACACTCATCATTACTTTGATCATCCCTGTATTTTCTGCAGAAAGTTATATCATAATTTTTGTAGCAGTGTGAAAATATATGCTCAAAGAATTAGAATTTTATTTTTCCTCTGACCCAGCAATTTAACATCTGTGAATTTATTCTAAGGAAATAATCATTAATGTGCTTAGAGATACAGTTCATAGTAGATTTGTCAGTGTATGATTTATAATAGTGAAAAATGGAAAAAATATATTTTTAAACTAATTTAAAATTTTTTACTCATCATTCACTTAGGTGTATGAACACCTATTAAAATGATGAGAAACAATATTTAAAAGCATGAAATTGATCATATGATTATAGGTTATACACAGCATATCAGGTGTGATTCTATTTATAATATATTCACCAAGGTATAACTAAAGAAAGCAGACTGAAGAGCTATCTACCAAACAGAAGAGAAAAGGCAGCACCAATCAGAGAGGGCCACAGGAGGTCATAGATAATAGATCAAGTAGCAGAAGAATTAAGCATAGATCTGAAAAACAAAAATAAAAACAAACAATTGAAGAGAATAATAATTCAGAATAAAAGGAAAAATATATTCTTGAATCAAAGAAGGTAAGTAGTGAAGATTACATCTAGAATATGAAAAGGATCTGACCCAAAGTAGGAAATCTGCAAATATTGTACCAAAACTGAAAGGTTTGTAATGCTTTAAGGAGCATATTCAGAGAGAGTAAGTAACATCAAAAAAAGTGTGCTAGATCTAAAGCTCAACATTTCTGAGCACCTACTATGTACCAGATCTTATAGACAAGTATTTAAAATTTTTTATTAGTACATGTTTGCAGTACATAGTGATTACATTCATCGTGGAGAGTTGATACATGTACATAATTTAGTCTTCTCCATAAGCCTGGGATAAGAGAGCTTGAAAAGGTCAGATGGTCAAGGTCACATGACTATAGAAAGGTAAAGCTGGAATTCTGAGCCAGGTCTGGGTAGGGTAATGCTAGTGCACCATGACAAGAAAGAAATGATTGAGAACAATAATCTCAGTAATTTTTAATCTAAGCCCTAATAATGGAGGAAAACCCCACCAAATCTATAGTATAACTGTCTTACCAATATCTCAAAAAAAAATGACAGTGTTATGGGCTGTAGGGTGAATTGTACAATTGAAATATCATTCAGTTAAAAAAACAGAGTCCAAGTTGGTCTGTACACACTGATTATAGCTCTGCCATATGCATGTGTTTATGCTGGCAAAGACTGGAGGCAACTTTGTACTCATGTATGTTAATGCAGTCCTTTGTTTCTCTCTCTTAATTTGTTTCTCTCCTTCCCTCCCTCTCTCCCTCCCTCCCTCCCTCCCTCCCTTCCTTCCTTCCTTCTTTCCTTTCCTTCTTTCCTTCCTCTTGTGGTCCTGGGGATCAAGCCCATCACTCATATATGTTAAAAAGTGCTCCATCACTGAACTACTTCCTTGGCTATCGATCCATTACTGAATGTGTGTATAGTCAGCTTTCTGCTGCTGGGAAAAAATAATTAACACACACAACTTAAAGGAATAAAGGCTTATTTTGGCTCACAGTTTCAGAGGTTTCAGTGCATGGCTGGCTCCAAGGCAAAAACATCTTGGAGGAAGGGAATGGCAGAGGAAAGCTGCTCAACTCAGCAGCCAGGAAGGAGAAAACAAAGGAAGAGCCAGAGAGGAAGCAATATACACAGTACAATTGGGGGTTGTAGGACCCCTCCCCTCCGCTCACCTGATTCTGGGCAATGCCACAGGGCTAACCTCGTGCTAACCTTTGTCCTAAAGTTTATTACCTACTTATTACCTACCTACAGGCAGAAATGAGAATAACAAAGATCCTTGGGCCTCTTGCGTTGAAAGATTCCTAAAATTCCAAACAAGGACACATGTGCTGTTGTGCATTCAGCCCTTTCTATTTTTCCTTTTTGTGCCATTTTCTTTTCTACCAACATGATCCTGCTTGTTCTCAGCATACCTTTTCCCTCTAAATGTTACTCAATTTAGCTGCTTCTTCCTTACCATTGTGTGCAGTGTCCAATTCTTTGTCACTCACAAGAACTTGGAAAACTGTCCCAGAACCCTATCACCCACGGTAACACAGGGGACCAGGAATCATTTATAGTCCCCAAGATTATTATAGATAGGTAAGTTAATTAGATGTCTTGTAGGTAGTAAGACAGGGCCAGCCCACAAGGAGCCAACATGGAGGACAATCAAGACACATTTACTGAAGGCCAGCATTGTAAAAGGTGAGAAACTGCTACACCCACATAGGATGAATAGCAGTAATTGATATTCTAAATAGGCATGTGTCACCTGGGTGGGGGACCAAGATCTTCCAACAGTGATCCCTGACCCACTCCTTTCCACTGAAAACCTTTGCTTGTTCTTTGTATGCTTGCTACCTGACTTGTTTCCCCATTGGATCCCCATTTAATCAATATTACCTAAGTGGCTAAACTTGTCATAATCTTATTGGTTGTTCATAGTTTTGTCCACCTTGTGATTTCTCATTGGATCAGTGTTACCTAAGCAACTGTACTTGCAATCTTACTAGTTGACTATAGTTTGTCCCACCTTGAATCTGCCTCACCTCATGGCTTTTTCCCATAACACACCTTTGAAAAGGTGGGTGAGCGGGCAACCGACTTTCTGGTCCCCCTTCTGTCTCTCTTAGACAGAAGCTTTCTTTCTCAGTAAATTTTTCCTATTCTTAACCTGTATTGTTAGAATTCATTCTTTGATTTTAGAGAACACAAACTTTTGGATATCTAGCAGGCTTGGGATTTACATCTCTTCCCCCTATATCAAAATCACACCAAAAGGGCCCACCCAGATACACCTAAAAATGTACTTTATTAATTTCCTAGGTGTCTCTCAAGCCAATGATGCTAATAATCAAGATTAATAGCCAGGAATTCAGCTCAGTGGTTTTGACGCCTGCTGTGCAAGCACAAGGACCTGAGTTCAATCCCCGGTACCAAAAAAAAAAAAGATTATTAAAAATAAAAAAAAAAATCAGTCATCACAATATGTAAAAGGCTTTTGCTGTCTTCTATTATGCCTTAATGAAACAGTATTTTCATCTTACAGATGTTTTAGGCAATTAACTTTCCTTTAATCGTTAAAATTTATATTCCCTTACATATTTTATATGACTTCCAAAAATAATAAATACAAATTTGAATTTTGACAAATTAAAATTCCCCTCTACATTGATTAAAAACTTACCATATTTTTCAAAACAAATTAATAGTTCTGTCACCAGGCTGGATCTGAGAGTCTCCAATGCTGAAATAAGGAATTTAATCCACCCTTTTAAGTTTGCAGATTTGGTGACTCCCATCATGGAAAAAATTAATTAGGATGCATCAGAAGAAGAAACATGAGAAAAATTTTTTAGAGGTAGATATAAGATGCCCTCAAGAGCTGAGTGTGGGTTCTCAGAGAAATATAGCACAATACAGCTGGAAACTGTCACACCTGGTTGGTAAGGCAAATGCCAGAGCCGGAGTATGTGCCATCTCCATGGCAACCACAAGGGGACTTCAATATTGAGTGTAGCCTGCTCCATCAAGCCTCAGCAGATGTACTGGGAACCTCAAAGAAGAACAAAGACAAGACACTGGCTGTTCCAAGAAAAGTGACCTCACTCTCTCTGACCCCCAAATTCCTCAAGGCATTAACCCTGCCCCTTCCCTTTAAAATCTTTGTTCTCTGCCTGCTCTATGCTGAATTTCCTTTTTCTAGACTCTGCTCTTCTTTCTGCATCTTTAATACTAGAACTGGGGATCTTTTATGGGTTTGGGGTGGTGGAAATCTGTGGAATTCGATCTTAGTCTTGTCTACTGGGTGGAAAAGAATGGCCCACCCATAGCGAGATAATGGTCCATTTTCATAGGAAATCCTAAAAGGTGGTCTATACACAGGTGAATGAGGATCATTTGTAAGTAAAAATGGAAATGGGCAAACCTATTTGTAAGTGAAAGGGAGTTGCTCAGATTTACTATGTTTTGGGAGAAAACAAAACAAAACTGGTCTTGTCTCCTGAAGCTAAAAGTTTTTTTTAAATCTTGATTTTCTTGTCTCCTTTCTACCTAGTTTTCATTTCTTCTATCCTAGGAGCACAGTTAGAAGCAGTGGAGCTGAGAAGTCACTGCCTTCCCTCCATTTAATTCAAAACAGTACCCTACAGTTATTCCTGCTTCCATTGTCCTAAGAGAGGTAGAGAATGAAATAACAAAAGCTTAGATTACCGGTGTCCTAGGTTAGAGCACATGCCTGTTGGGTCTCCAAGCCTGACCTTCTGGTCACCTTTACCCTACTTTCACTTCATTACAGGCTCATAAATATGCACTACATCTTATAAATTAATTAAGGTCAGTGAATTATGGGATGGGCATGTGTGCTAAGAGCTAAAATGATTCAGCACCTTGTCAATCATTCCTGTCAATCACATTTAGAGATTCTGTGGAAGGCACCTAAAGCAGAAGTGTCTGACTTTTAAATTCTGAAAGCTTGAGATAATGGTTCCCTTTTTTCTGTTGCTATTGCTACTTTTGACCTGTGTCACCAATGCAGTGCTTTTCTGTCGCTCCAGCACCTTTCTTGGTCTGTGTTATATCTTTGTTGGCATGGACTGTCCCTGAGCACAACTTCCCTTGACCTAGCTGTTTACTACTTACTACTGGGTGTATGCTTGGCAGTTCTTTCCTTGTCACTCACAAGAACCTGGACTATTATTACCCCATTCCACAGTAATACTATCTCAGTTCATCAGACAAACTCATAAATGTTTTAAACACCTAAGGAGCCACTCACACACTTAATACTATGATCATACAGCAGGTATTTTTATGTCTAGCTTTTTGTTGTTGTTGTTGTTTGGTACCAGGGATTGAACTCTGGTCCTTGCCCTTGCGCAGCAAGTGGTGAAACCACTGAGCTAAATCCCCGGCCCTGTCTCATATTTTGAGATTCATCTATGTGATAGCCTGTATCAAAACTTCATTCCTGGGCCCGGGATTTAGCTCAGTGGAGCCACTGCCTGCCTCAAAAGTGCAAGGTCCTGAGTTTGATCCCCGGTACCAAAAAAACCCCAAAAAACTTCATTTCTTTTTATTTCTGAAATTTACTTATTCATTCACTTGTTGATGAATATTTGAATAATTTCCAGCCTTGGGTATTACGAATAAAACTACTTTCACAATCATGTGCTAGCTAGTCTTTGCAAATATGAGCTTTTATTCTTTTTCTGTTCTTACTTTGAGATCCTCTCAGAGTTGGGTAGGGAGAGTTATAGTAATTTGATCTGATTTTATTTCTTCTTTTCCCCCCAAAGTTGCAATGATCTTATCAGATTCTAAAAGCAAACAAAACAAATCAGACTTTCTGTGATTTTAAGATCTATGTTGCCAACTGACCTATTGAGAGGTAATTTTGTTTTATAGTTCAGGGCAATGCAAACCTGAGTCATTAGCTAAATCCCTTTCATACTTACATTGTACCTTTTTTATCAATGGGATTTTTAAATTTATGACTTTCTCATAGATTTTACTTTGTTGAAATTTGGTATCGTCTTCAAAAATTATGTTAGTTTAGGTTTTATGTGGCTGTCATTGTCAAACTCTTTGTCCTGACAATATATTAACCTGGTTTGATATTTCAATTAAAAGCGTAATATTGCCTCATGAATATTTTCTTACAATGAGTCATTTAGAAGTTTTCTAGGAAATGAGGCACTACATTCTCTCCTTTAGGTTATTTGACTAGTGTAAAATTTTGGAATATAAAGATTTTGAATGATTGATACACAATATTGGTGTTGATTGATAATGGGATCCCTTTCTACCTTGTTATTAAGGGTACAGCTGATTCTGCTTGGTTTTACCTGGCTATAGGACAGGTTCTGCCTTTTCTGGAGTTGTTTCATTAGTTTGTGGATTATTTTGTTGGTGTTCACTTATTGATTACATGGATTTTAAACTGTGCTGTATAAGCCACCATGTACTCAAAAGGAGAAGAGAGCCTCCATATATATATATATATTAATCAGTGTAATAATATTTTACAGCGTCTGTACATTTTATATTTTTCTTTTCTCTTCTTGTATAAGAACAAGCTCATTGATGTTCATAGACTCATCAAATTGAGTTAAGAAAATGTATAGCAACAATTCTTAAAATTTGGTCTTTAGCCCTGCAATAGCATTACCTGGGGATGTGTTAGAAATGCACATTACTGAACTCCACTCTAGACCTGCTGATCAGAAACTCTGGAGTGGACTCTGGGTTTTGGGATGTTCACTGAGGTTTAAGAACCACTAATTTACCCTGCACCTAAAGTTGTTGATAACTAAAGTGTCATTGCATGGCCAGTAGGAATCTACTCTGAGTTGCTCTACTCCAGAAATTTTTGAAAAGCATCTTTGCTTTCTGGAAACAATAAGTATTCCCAGTTCAAAGTGATTTTTTTCCCCTATCCTAAGACATTCAATTGGCCGCTGGTCTGCAAGGATTGTTTTGGGTTTTTTCCACTTAGTGAAATTAGAAAGCAGTATTTTAATGCCTGTGATGCTCACATGCATTGGGGATAATCCGAAGAACAGGTGCTGAAATTGGGCTGCTTTTAATGAGAGCGTTCAGGTTCTGTACATAGACTGACTTCTGCCCCCATTTAACATAAGTCACTGCATTCATTCTGCTTTCCTTGTAGTATGAGGTTTTATTGAACAGTAAAATTTTCTGTTATGTATGTTGACCACATAGAGCTTAATTTTATTGTTTCTTTTCCAGACAAAGTTACCCAAAGTAAGTTAGATTACATTTCCTGTTCAAAAAGTCATCCTTATATAAAGCATTTCAAGTGGATGAATACATCATTTAGGGAGAGATGAGGACAGCTGTACAGCTAATCCCTTTTCCCCACTTGGAGAATGACAGATGGGGTCATGAGGAGTATTGCTTCCGAGCCCTGGGAACCCCTGCAGCAGGTCTGTTTTTTACAAATTATTATTGAGATCATACAATTGCCTTATTCATATTTCATTGTAATTATATGGTCATCTTGAAGTTTTCCTTACTCAAAGATTCTGGAATATGATAGATGCAGAAGGGAATTTTGCGTTCATTTCTCTATTTTTCTCCATACACAACACTGGTGACGAGTAAGCCTAGTTTCTGTGTTCTTTTAATGATTTCCATTCATGTGGGTCTGCTTGGGTTTGACGTCAGGGTTGGGTGAGATATGTTAGAACATAAGAATGGGTGAAGTGATCTCATTGGAATGCACACAACAGTTAGTGCCATGGGACATCAGAAGATGGAGAAGCCACTGGCTCATCCTCAGAAACCCATGTCTACAGTAATATTCTTCCAACTCTGATGTCAAACCCAAGCAGATGTTCATCTAAAATAACTTAAGTAGTGGGGATAGGCAATGCAGAGGTGAAAACAGATGAAAGAAAATAAGAAGCAAATGAGAATTTGATCCACTTTGAATAATTTTAGATCTCTGCATATCTTTTTTCCCCTAGTACTGATAGAAATGATTTTTTTGGCAAAGCATAGCACCACATATCTATAATCCCAGCACTCTGGGTGGCTGAGGTAGGAGGATTGCAAGTTCAAGGCTACCCTGGGCAATTAGTAAGTTTCTGTCTCAAAATAAAATATAGAAGACTGGCAGTGTACCTCAGGATAAAGGCCCTAGGTTCAATCCTCAGTACTGCAACAAACAAACAAAAACAGAAAAGCTACAAAGAAAGAAAGAAAAGAAAAGAAAAGGTTTTTTGGATTAATCGCCTGTAAGTTTTATTTGTATTCTATTAATATTGGACTACGTATTTGAACTCATTGTTCTTCATCTGAGAAGGTTTAACTAACATCATCTGTAAAATAATCATGCACACAAGTTAATCATCCTCAGTGGTGATGCAAAGGAAAAATTTGCATTTACTTTTCACCAAATTTACATTTACTTTCCAAGTAGACCTACAAAGGCCACCTCCACGCATAGGAGTGTCAGAGATACACAGTAGTGTAGACTGCTACTGGAAACAGGGAAAGAGATACATTCTATCAAGGGAGAGCTAAAGTCAAATTTGCCCAATAATGACTCCCTGGATGGAAACTCAACTAACCTCTGTCTCAGCATCTTGGTTTATTAGTAAGGGTTGGCAAATATTTAATCTTCCTGAGCTCACTAACCAGATAGAGTTAAATGCATGAGACACATTTGTGTTTATGGAAGACAATGTAAACAAAAGTCACATTGAATAATAATTTTTATTTGCTAATACATTTGTAAGGAAATGTAGACATTTTACATTTGTGGCACACTGAGAGTTTACAAAAGATTTCCACATGTGTCCTCTTGTTTCAGTGTCACTAAAGCTAAGGAAGTCAGGTTGCTTTTCTAGTATATTGAGGAAACTGAGGGTCTGTAAGTTCCCACATCCTGCCCACATTTACATAGCTAGTTTATGGGAGGGTAAGAACCTGAGTTCAGGCACTGGGCATGGTGGTGCATGCCAGTAATCCCAGCACTCGGGCGGCTGGGGCAGGAGGATTGTTGTGAGTTCAAGACCAACCTGGACTACATAGTAAGTTCAAGGCCAGTTTGAACTACATAGTGAGACCCTGTCTCAAAAGGAAAAAAAAAAAAGAACCTGAGTCTGGGTCATCACTGAGTGCTCTTGCAGTGAACCAACTGCAATTTTACTGTTGCTAATTAAAGGAAAGCATGTGGTTGGGCCGGGGATTTAGCTCAGTGGTTCCACCGCCTGCTGCTCAAGTGCAAGGACCCGAGTTTGATCCCGGTACCAAAAAAAAGACAATGGGGGAAAGCATGTGGTGCTTGTTCACTCATTCAAAAAATGCAAATTAGATATTAACCTTAACTAAGGGTACAAAAGTACTGGTTATGTATACTACAACTTGCAAGGCTGGTTTGAGTTGCAAATACATTGCTAGCTTATTTCTACCATTTGAAATTCTTTTTCCATTTGTGATGTTAGGATGTTTCCCTGGCTTATAAAATCAGTTAAGCCCATGGCCTCCTTTTCCACCGTCAGTTTTTGTTGACTTAAATGGTACTTGCATGGGCTGCAACTGTGGGTATACGTGAGGTGGGCACAGCTGGGAAGAGCAGAGAAGCAGGATGCACAGCGGCGTGGGGACTGGACTTCTGGGGACAGCTCTCTCCTTTATGTTTCCCAGATGGTGGCAGCAGAAAGTTGAAGAACCCAGCTGTGAGGAATCTCATGTTTGAATACTTCCTGAGAAGTGCTGTGGATTGTTTTAGTTTAAAATCACAGGAAAGTGCTTTTCTTTCTTTAAGAGTTAGAAGTTGACCATATATCTACCATGCAGTCCAGCCTTTTAACACTTCTGTATTTACCCAAGAAAAACAGAAGCATCTGCCTTATTTACGAGTTTTATGTGTAATAGTCCAAACTGGAAATGATCCAGATGTCCATCAAGTAAATAAACAAATTGAGGAATATCCATGCAGTGAACTATTATTCATCAATAAAAAGGAGTAAACTATTAGAGAGAGAACTGTGTGGTAATAAGGATAAATCTCTAAATACATATATATCAAAATTATGTCTTACAATACAAATTTGTGTGTTACAGGTCCAATATTATCTGGCTGGGTTAAAGTCAAGGTTTTGGGAGAGCCGTGTTCTTTTCTAGAGTCTCTAAGGGAGAATCTGTTTCCTTGCTTTCTCCAATCTTTAGAAACTACCCACGATTCTTGGCCCGTGTGTGGCTCCTTCATCTTCACAGCCAGTGACATTATGTCTCTGGCATCGTTATGTGGTCACATCTCCCTCTGGCCACAGCCCCAAAAGGTTCTCTACTATCGAAGAGTCCTAGTGGCATAACTAGGGGGAGCGGAGGGAGCAGTCTGCTCTGGTTGGCACATTTTTGCGCGGCATTATTGGCCAAAAGGAAAGTTATATTGTAACGATTTACTCCATTTTAACAGTGAAGATTTAGGTACATGGAAATGTGAATGTTACATCTGAAGTTTATTGTGCTTTTAAAATGTTATCTCATTTTTTACTGAATGCACTCTTTTATCATGAATGTGTGTTGGATTTTGTCAGACGCTTTTTCTTCATCTATTGAGATAATCATATGGTTTTTGTCCTTGGCTCTATTAGTATAGTGTATTACATTGATTGATTTGCATATGTTGAACCATCCCTGCATCCCTGGGATGAATCCCACTTGGTCAGGGTGTATGATGATCTGACTGAATGCACTCTTTGCAACATTTGTAACATTTTATAAAGAATTCTTTAAACAATATTACTAATATGATTATTAGTATTTCCTTTACTCACATCAGTTAACTATTATCATAATTTATTATGAACCATAATATTTATGATAATTTATCATTCTTTTGAACTATATTTGATGGTAAGCTAAGGTTTCCTATCTAGTTGTATGACTGCTTACACACGAATTGTATTGAGTAGTTTTGATATAGGATGTAGAGTGGCAAAGCTGGCTGGGGAAATAGGTGAGACCTGTCAATTACAAGACCCCAGGACAGCACCAAATAATTCCCATGATCCCCGTATGTGAAACTTCCCTAAGGTTCCCATGAGATGTGGACTGTACATAAGGACACAGTCACCAGGAGGAGCCCAGTATCATGATTCTTCACAGTAGCTAACTCTATGTATCTAGACTAGAGTGCACTTTTATTTTTGCTTCTATCCTTTCCTCTCTTTCTTTGGCCCATGTTTGCTCTATAGAGCCAGTTTTTCCCTTACCCCTCTACTCCTCACTTTTCAAATAAACTTTTCGCTCCATTTATGGCTTTACCCATCTAATTCTTCGTCCAAGGCAAAAAGGACATGGAACACTTTTAATTGATGAGCCATTTCTAAAGGAACCACCCGAGAACAGTTTCCGTATGCATCTTGACCATTGTAGCCACTCAGTAAATAAGAGTTTGTGTGTGAGTGGTTGTGCTGCTAGAGGCGCTGCTTCGACCAATGCTGTCTTGACAGTGAGAGGCCTGGAGTAGAGACAGCACTTGTACACTGTTTCTGGTTCTCATAAACAGATTTTTCTTTTTTCCATTAACAGATTTTTCTAGCTGTAAGATGTTGCAGAAATTTTGCAGTGTAATTATATTTAACTATATATTTAATATAATGAGTAAATCCATGCAAAAATTATCTTAATTTTTCTCTATACGTCATTTTAATGTTCGACTTTAAGTAACATTATAGATTACTGTATTTTTATTTAATAAATAAATAATTTAAAAACTGGGCGTGGTGGCATGAGCCTGTAATCCCAGCACTTGGAAGGCTGAGGCAGGAAGATTGCTGTGAGTTCAAGGCCAGCCTAGATTGTATAGTGAGACCCTGTCTCAAAAATCAAAAAACAAAAAACAAAATAGAGGTGAGGCTCAGGGTTAGGTCACTGGGGGCACTACCTGTGGGAGGGATTAATGTAGCTATCTGAGGATGCTGGGTGTTTCCTGAGAGAATGAGTCATTATATAAAGAGTAAGCCTGGCCCCTGCACTTCTTTGGCTTCCTGTCTCCATGTGATCTTGCCCTTTCATACTTGCTCCCACCGTGATGCCATCTGCCATGCTGTGATATAGCCAAGGGGACCCTCTCCAGAGGCTGAATGATAGAGACATTTGAATTTAGACTTTCAGCCTCCTGGCCCTCCTCCAGCATCTGGTATTGTTATAGCAACAGAAAATGAACTAATACAGATCCATTTGGATAATCCAGGCTTATCCTCCCATCTGAAGATTCTTAACCTTCATCACGTGGAGTCTCTTTGCTGTTTAAAGTAATAAGTTCACAGATTTCAGGGATATGTATGAACATCTTTGAGGAGATGTTATTCCACCTTCTATAGCACTTCTTGCTAAATTCATGTTTCTAGGATCCATTCACGGTGCTGTGTGTGTGCCAGGAATTTGTTCTATTGTGGAGCAGTATTTTATGGTATGACTATACCATGGTTGCATGTTTGTTTTTCTGTTGATGGACATTTGGTTTATTAGCAGTGTTTTGCTATTATAATAAAAAATTCATTCCTTCATTGTTTTTCATTTCTCTTGGATAACTATGAGGAAGAATTGCCAATTTAGGGTAATTGTATATTTGAGTTTTCATGTGTTTATCAATCACTAATGTATTCTCTTTTGTGAGATGTATGCTCAAGTGTTTCTCCAATTTTAATTTGTACCAGGTTGTTTTTTAAATTATTATTTGCATATTATCTTTCTGTGTTCTAAAAATAAATTCTGTCAGGTGTATATATTACTATATTTTCTTCCAGTTTGTGGCTTGCTTTTCCCTTTTGTAGTAGTGTTTTTGGTGAATAAAAGGTTTTTTTTATTTGACAAGGTCTGGTTTCTCAATTTTTTTTTTTTTTTTTGGGGTACTGGAGATCAAACTCAGGACCTTGTATTTGCAAGGCAGGCGGTGGAACCACTGAGCCAAATCCCTGGCCCCTTGGTTTCTCAATTTTAAAAAATGCTAGTGCAGGCCGGGGATTTGGCTCAGTGGTTCTGTGCCTGCTTCGAAAGCGCAAGGTCCTGAGTTTGATCACCGGTACCAAAAAACAAAAAAAATTGCTAGTGCCTTTTGTGTCCTGTCTAAAAAATCTTTCTCTTCTTCAAGGTCATGAGGATATTCTCCAGTGTTGTATTCTTTTTTTTTGTTTGTTTTTTGTTTTTGTCACACACCCAGAGGCTTTTATTTCCAAGGTGAGTACAACCAGCTTTGAAGGAAATTGAGAAAATGGAATGATTACCATAGTTTTTACATTCAACTTTTTTCCAGTGTCTGCATTCGTGCTTTTGAATGTGACTAGAAAAAATTAATTTATCACAATTTTTGCATTCAACATGATTTTCACCATTATAAATGTCTTAGTTACTTTTCTCCTTGCTGAGACAAAATACCCAACACCCAAAGTTAAAGGAGGAAAGGTTTTTTTGGCTTATAGTTTATAGAGGTTTCAGTCCAGTTGGCCAGCTCCATGGCAGGGTGGCATGGCAGAAAGGCATTGCAGAGGGGAAACCGTCCACAGCAAACAGGCAGGTTGAGAGCACATTAGCCCTTTTTGTCCCTTGTATTTATGTAGGCTACCCACCCTAGAGCAGGTGTAGTAGCACTCACACCCTTAATTCTGGCCAGAACTATACCAAACCAATCAGTAGACTGATTTAGTAATCAGATACCCTTGATCCCAGCACCACACCCTCTAGATCCAGCCACCTCTGAAAAGCCCCATGACTGCATGAAGCTTTGGGGCTACATCTAAACACAAGCCATTAAGTTTTTCATGTTGATGAAGGGAATTGTAATAACAAAATGCTTTACCCCCACTGCTTCCATTAATACTCTCTAGTATGAATTCTTTCATGTTTTCTACGGTTGGAGGATGTGGAGAAAACTTTACCACATTGTTGGCATTCATATGGCTTCTCTCCACTATGAATCTTTTCATGTCTTCAAATGGAACTGATACATGTGAAAGCTTTACCACATCGTTTGCATTCGTAAGGTTTTTGCCCACTATGAGTTGTGCGATGTCTTCTAAATGAACTTCGATGACTGAAGGCTTTACCACACTGGTCACATTCATAGGGCTTTTCTCCAGTATGTGTTCTTTCATGCTCTTGAAGTGTTGAGAGACATCTGAAGCATCTCCCACATTGTTTACATTCATGGGGCTTCTCCTCCGTATGAGATCGTTTATGACAATGAAAGGAACTAGAAACACTGAAGGTTTTCCCACATTGTGTACATTCATAGGGCTGCTTTCCAGTATGAATTCTTTCAGTTCCCTGCCTCTCCAGTGTTGTATTCTGAAAGCTTTATAGTTTTAGCTTTTACATTTAGGTCTATGATCTATTTCAGATTAACTTTTTTTGTGTAGGGTGTACAGTAGATATAGTAATTTTTATACAGATATTCAGTTATTACAGCATCAATTATTGAATAGACTTTCCTTTCCTCATTGAATAGCACTGACACTTATTATAAATCAATTAAGGAAATGTGTTTGTGTGTGTGTGTCTGTGTGTGTTGCCAGGGATTAAGCCCAGGTCCTCACACATGCTGGGTAAGCACTCTACCACTGAGCTACATCCCTAGTCCTATCTATTTTTGGGGCTCCATACTGTGCTAATGGGTCCTTTTTTCTATTCATGGCAAATACCACACTTTTAATTATTATAACTTTATGTTAAGTCATGAAATCAAGACTTATCCTTCTTTAATATGGTTTTGGTTAGTGTGGTCAACTTGGGGCTTATGTCTGTTAGGGGTTAAATTGTGTCCCCTCCAAAGATATGCTCACTCCTAACCCCCAGTACTTATGAATATGGCCTTCCTTAGAAAATAGAGTTCTGTATTTACAGATGTGATCAAGTTAAGCTAAGATCATACAGGATTAGGGGGGCCTAATCCAATATGATTGGTATCTTTATAAGAAGAGAAGAGACCCAGGCAAAGACACCCTCGGGAACATCATGTAGAGAAAAGCAGGGATCAAGGTGATGAATTTACAAGCCAAAAATTGCAAGCATACCATCAGAAGCTAAGAAAGAGGCATGGAAAAGATTCTGCCTCAGAGTCTTCAGAAGAGACCAATAACTTGATTTCAGATTTCTAGCCTTCAGATCTCTGTGAGACAAGAAATTTCTATTGTTCTAAGCCCCTTGTTTTGATCTTTCTTACAGCAGTCCTAGCAAGCTACTACTGTACAATCACTGGAACATGATTCTTAAAGTATAAGGAAACAACTCTTAACCATACAAGTCCAAGGCTAAGGTGTTCCTGATAAAATTGATTTGGGGTTAAGTGTTAGGATTAGGTTCAACTGTAAGGCTTGGAAACCTCAAGAATGGTTTGTACAAGAAGGACATTTTATTTGTTACTTATTATTATTTGTGGTGCTGGAAATTGAACCCAGGGCCCCACACATGCTAAGAACATGCTCTACCTCTGAGCTACATCCCCAGTCCTTGAAATATTTTATTCTTCTCTCATGTAGGTGTTGGTAATCTGGGGTTGATTGGTACAGCAGCTCAATTACATCAGAGATCCAAGATTCTTCTGTCTTTTTGCTGCCATCCTCAGTAAGTGGCTTGTGCCTCATGGTGCGAAGTCTGTCCACATGTCTGCTTTTCACCCAGCATGAGGAAGGAAGCATGAGGGAGCCTGTCCCTTTTCATTAAGGACACACCCCAGAGGTTTCACAAGATAACCTGTGCTTACAGTCTCTGGTCCAAAATTTAGCCACATCATCACTCCTAACTCAAAACAGGTTGCAGTATGTTATTTCAGGAACCTGTGAGTCTACCCATTTATTAATAATTAGGAAAGGGAAATCTGATATTAGGAACCAACCAGAATTTCTTCCATAGAGTTTCTGTAGAGGAACATCGAGTACAGATGAAGATTAAAAATCAAATCTGGAAGTAAAAATCTAAAGCTAAAGAATGTTAGCTACACCTTGGAGTGTGAGATAGCCTAAGAGAGTGAAAAGGGAGAAGAAAGGATTAAGGTGAGACCTGATGATGAAGAGGAGTCAGCAGGGACCAAAGAAGAAGAATGAGGCTCAGGACACATTTCCAGGAAGGAATGGTCAACCGTGCATAGGGGAAGAGATGCTGCTATGGTCTGAATGTGTCAGGCTAAATGTCAAAACAGAACTGCCTGTGACATGTGACAATGTTATGAAACGTGACAGTGTTAAGAGGCACAGTCTTCAGGCAGTGATTAAGTCACGAGGGTAGAGCCCTCTAGGAAAGAACTAGGGGATTTATCAAAGGCTTGAGGGAGTTTTTTTCCCTTTCCTTGTGTCACTTGAGGACACAGCAAGAAGCCTCCATCAGATACTGAGTGCTCACGTCCTGACCTTGTGCTTCCCTGCCTCCGGAACAGTGAGAAACTTCTGTTGTTGATATACTACTCAGTCTGTGGTATTTTATCACAGCAGCACCAATAGTCTGACATATCAATTAAGATAAAGAACTGGTCTTTAAAAACATAAGAAGTGGTGCTTGTCCTATTTCAAGTCAAAGACAACCTCCAGGCTTTTTCTGAAAGCAGTTCTGTCTGTGTGACCAGTGACCTTCTGAAACTTGGAATTCAGGCAGCTCTCAGTGTAAGCAGTGTCATGATTAATTTAAGCTCAGGTCTGCTGAAAGATACAGTTCCCCACTCCGTCTCACTGAAGGACAAGGTTGCACCACAACACTGAGGTTATACATGTCTCTGTCACTATAGTCAGGTGACTGGGGGCCTTACGAGTTCCAAGGACTGGAATAGGGATTTAGCTCAGTGGTTCCTTCACAAACGTCAAAGTCCCAAGTTCAATCCCTGATACCAAGAAACAAAATAAAACAAAACCCAGCCAGAAGGCTCAAAAGATTAAGGGTATAACCTTTGCCTTTTGTCTGGTCCTAGGGAAGGAATAAAAGATAACACAGAAGTGGCTCTTTGGTCTCGGTGGCACAAGCAAGATGATGAAGGGAATGTCATCGTTTGGAAAGCGTTGTAATAAGATGCACACGCTGTGCCTCCGCTGTGGCTCTAGGGTCTACCACCCTCAGAAGACGCCCTGTGGCAAATGTAGCTACCCTGCCAAGCGCAAGAGAAAGTATAACTGGAGTGCAAAGGCTAAAAAAAGGTGAAGAGGCATATAAAGATTGTGTATCACCAGGGTCTGCTGTCTGCCTTGCAAAAGCAAGGTCCCTAGTTCAATCCCCGGTACCAAAAAAAAAAAAAAAGATTGTGTATCAAAAATTCAGCCATGGATACATTCCATGCATGAAGTTTCAGAACAATATTTAAACCCAAGACAGCTGCTGTTGCAGCATCCAGTGCATCTTGAGAATTTAAGCAATTACTCAAAACAATTTGTTGGTTTTAAAAGATTTTTTAAAAGATAAACACAGAAGTGGACTCAATGTGTGCACTAAGATGTGTATGAGGACGTTAACTGTAGCCCTGTTTGTGATAAAGATTAGAAAGAACCTAATTGTCATCAGCTGGAGGGTGGACACATACATTATGCTGTGTTCTATCAACGGACTTCTGATGGCAGCTCCTTAACCTCAGGTCCCAGATTAGCAGCTGCTCTGCTACCTCAGGGCAAGACCAGAGGATGTCATGGGCTAGGAGAGCAGGAGAGGAAAAAGGATTTGTGGAGGATGAGGAAAAGAGGAAAAAAGATGACATGAGAGAGGCAGGTGCTTTGTCCTGTTGCATCAAGGACCTGATTATCTGCTTTCCTATTTGGAGCCTTCTCCAGCTCCTCAGTTCTCAACCTCACACACCCTTGGAGCCTCCCACGGTGGCAGTGGCGGGTTAGTGTGGGGTGTGGTGAAACTAAAAATGGCCCTGAAACCACAGCGCCCGCCTTTCTCGTGCCACTTAGCCTGAGAGTCAGTTTTCTCACCTGTGAGATAGTTTTCTCTCCCTTTTAGGACTGCTGTGGGGGCTAGAATAGGTACATCCTGGCATCAAGGTCTTGCATAACCCGGGTTAGATGCTTTTCTTCTCTCTGGGGCAGTCCGCAGATCAAAGACCTCAAACTGCTGTCTCACAGAACTTTCGGCCATAATGCCTTTGCGCACTTGATATATGTCTATTGCAACTGAAGGACGGACAGATTTCGCTTTTTGCTGTTTTTTGGTGGTGGGGACGGTATCCATAGGGCCTCATACATGCTAGGCAAGAGCTCTGCTGGTACCATTGAGCTACACCCCGGGCCCTTGCTTTCCTGTAAATAGCTGTGGCAAGTGGCTGTCCTGTTGGCTGGCACAACCTCTAGGACGGTAGCCTAGACTAAATGGGAGTTCTTCTCAGACGCTGTTAGGGTATCTCATTAGTGTGGACACTGCGAGGCCCTAACAGGCTCCTCCGGAATGAAGTCAGAGCGAGCACCTCGCAGTGTGAGATGGCAACCACCAAGGACTCCACCTCCTTCTGCTCCTCTCCGCCCTCTGCTCTGCCGCTCTGTCCGTACAGTCTTGAGCCCTGGGGAAATGGGGTGAGATCCCTCCGGGTCTAAGCATCCCACGGCCACGGGCCCCTTTATTTTTTTCGGCAAGCTGGCGAAGCTCTGCATTTCCACGTCCATTTCACAGACGAGAAAACTGAGACTCCCGGAGGCTCTGGAGAACCCAAGAGCCAACGAAGAGTGAACTCTCTGGGGCTTCGGTGGTGACGCCAGACATTTCCGTGGGTCAGGTTGTCAGGGTGCGCGGGGAAAGTGGCGAGTAAACATTTGGGGCTGTAACCCGGGCTCTGGCGACAAGTCGTCACTGCGGTTCCCAGGCGGGGGCGTCCCCTAGCTGGGCCGGGTTGCGCGGGCCGCCCGGCTCCCGGGCTCCCGGGCTCCCGGGGGCCCGCCTTCAACCGGCCTGGCCCCGCCCCCGGCGGCTATAAGATCGCGGGACGGCGGGGCTCCGGGCAGCTAAGAGCTCGTGGGTCGGCAGCCGGGTTGCGGTGTGAGCGCTGCCGGGCGGAGGAGCTGCGAGCGCGGGTGGGCGCGAGAGGACGAACCGCACTGCCGGGTCTCAGCGCGGGCGTCGCCCAGCGCCTCGCGGGGGCCGAGCCCAGCCGACCCATGAAGCCTCCCTCGGCGCAGGGCAGCCCCGCGGCCACCGCGGCTGCAGGTGAGCTCAGGGGTTCCGGTTCTCCAAAGCCCGGCCCTGCAGGTGGGGGGACTGAGAAGCGGGGTCTCGTGTGGTCCCTTTACACTACCGCCCTCCTATCCTGGACGGCGGAACCCTGCCCCAGGTCTCCCCGAGCCCGACAAATGAGGCGCGTTCTGACTCAGCCTCCCCACTCCCGCCAGGTTCGCCCCCACCCCAAGTAAGAGAGCGTGGGACCCAGCAGCGCGTGGGAGAGCGCGTGCCTGTGTCGATTAGCATCTAACTGGGCTTCAGCCTTGCCAGCGAAGGCTCAGTTTCCTATCTGTACAGCGGTCTGGATCGTAGGATGCACTGGGAGGGCGGCTGGATGGCTAAGATAACTGTGGCTGACACCCGGCAAGCGCGTGTTAGTTGTTCTGGGGAGGGGTGCCCGCCCTCGACCCCCATCCACTGAGCTCATCGTCCCTATCCCCAGCCCCAGCCTTGGCCTCTGTGGCCGCCGCAGACCTGACGGACGCGCTCTGCGAGTTTGACGCGGTGCTGGCTGACTTCGCGTCGCCCTTTCACCAGCGCCACTTCCATTACGAGGAGCATCTGGAGCGCATGAAACGGCGGAGCAGCGCCAGCGTCAGTGACAGCAGCGGCTTCAGCGACTCGGAGAGTAAGTGTGGCCCGCTCCGGGACGGTGTTCCAGGACCACGCAACTCAGGGCTGCTACGTAGGGCTGTGGCCTCAGTGTACTTATCTGGAGTCCAGAGAACTAAGACCCGAAGCTCAGCACCCTGTCTAGAAGGCCTGGGCACTGAGTCCCTGGAGGACCCGTTGCCCTACCTGACTGTGCAGCTTTTTCTGATACAGCCAGTTGAGACTCACGGGACCTGAGCCAGGCCTTTCCACTGCTTCCCCTCCTCCCCTTCCTCTGCTTTTCTCTCCCCTCTAAGTCATTACTTTTTAGAGCATGTGGAACAAGTGCCACTGGAATGGGAGGGGGTAGGTGGGGACGAGTGAGAGCACAGAACTGAAGCATTTGTGAAACCAGGAAAGGTTTCATAAGCCGCTCTTCTTGGAATTTTTTGAAATAACTTGTTGCACTTTCTTCTGGCTATGAGCTTCCAGACATGTTGCTCCACTGCATGCAATTTTGAAAGACTCCCTGGCACTGCAAAGTTCAAACCCTGTTGAGAGTGTCTGTCTTCAGACAGGTCCACCACCAGTGTCTGTCTTCAGACAGGTCCACCACGCAGGCTGGTGTGGGAGCTGGAGAGCAGATGTTGAGGTCCTGGTGACCTTTCTCCCAGTGAGGGTCACCCTCAGGGCCTCTGTCTTAACCTTGTAAGAGAGACAGCTTTTTCAGGAACTTGAATGTCCTAGAAGATTATGGATACCTGTTTAAATGTTAAACACCAAATATAGTGACTTTTTAATATTATGTGATTGGTTTCCAAAACCATTTTAAAAGTGAACTTTAAATTCTTCTGTTTATTCTTGGGCTTTTAATCCCTAGATATGTGATATTCAGGAAACATCTTGGCCTTTACTTGATAATGGATGTGAAAGTAATGCCCTTTCCTTGTGATTCTCTGATTCTGAAATCTGGAGCACTTCCTTGTTAGTGGGCAAACAGCAGTCCTTCTTTCTGACAGGAATAATGGTCCTCACCACCCTGGTCAGGATTTGAGTCAGAAACCTGAGTTCCAGTTGAATTTTCTTAGCAGTCCTTCCAGGTTAGACCAAGCTGTAACTTTGGAGGTGAAAGGGGGTGGAAGACTGCTGTTAATTTTCCTGTTAGAATTCTTGGATTTTTTTTTTTTTTTTGTACCAGGGATCGAACTCGGGTCCTTACACTTGCAAGGCAGGTGGCAGAACCACTGAGCTAAATCCTCAGTCCCTGGTTTATTTATTTATTTATTTATTTATTTATTTATTTATTTAGCTAATATCTTGGCTGCTCATTTTCAAAGGGAAGTGTTAAAATTTTTGAAATTTGTCTCAATACCTGTGGCCAGACTTAAAGGGGGCATGGAGCAAGTTACTCATCAAATACAAATTCTCTCCTCCATGGAAAAGAAAGCTAGTTATTGCTGCTCTATGGCAAAGAACAGCTTCTGTCTAAGCCACAGCCACATTCTGCTAGAAAATGCTCAGAACTCACCCATTCATGACTGATTGCAAGATCTGCTATAAGTGTAGATTGTTCTCCACAAGACTAGTTAGAAATAGTCTTGGCAGGAGTTGTGTGTATGTCTAAATAGTAATTTCTCAAGGAAGCATAGAATGTGTGTCTTAATTGCTGCCAAGAATTGAGCATAGACGTTTGTTATACTCATTTGCCCCTTTGATGTTTTTCTGTGCAAGAGTTGAGAGCAGCCTACTGAAATTTAGCTCTCCGAAAGTGGGCAACCAGCAGTTCACTTTTACCAAGCCCTTACTATGAGTATTTATTAGTTCTTGCTTTTAGTGATCTCTCTGCTGTTCTTTGTGATCTTTACCAGTTCATTGTTAGGTAATATCTGATAACATTTTTCTGATAACAGAAGAATCACACGGGCTGACTCCCCACAGCCTTGTTCTGTCACCATAGATGGTTGACCAGCGTGGGAACTAGCTCCTCAGGAATACATGGAAGTCTTGTTGAACCCAAAGCATGTATTGGTTTATCAGTGGTGGTTGTGTTTGAAGCTCTCTTCTTGAGGAGGTGGTGAGCTAGCAGGTCAGCAGAGCCCAGAACTCCTAAGATAAGAAGAGGACCAAAATATCTTTAAAACCATGAAAGTATAGCTTGATTTCTCAAATGTGTTTTAATGAAATTTTTACACACTATATTCCAGATTTTTAACTGATGTGTTAATTTATGCTTTACCTGATTGGTTTTAGGTAGGGTGAACTTAGATCTCTGATATTCTGGGGTTTCACGTACATTTTCTTTTTAGGAGTTAATGTTTTTCTGTTTAATAGGAAAGGTCTGAGGTCTACTCTTTATGCTAAGGCTATGACATAATAGATATTTTAGGGAATGAGGAACTGGCTTCTTTAGCAAGAGTTAGAACATCTGCAAATCTTTGCCTAGAGTATTCTGGTCTGATCCCAGGAGAGGGGACCTTACAGGCCCTGGAGGACCAGAATGACAGATGGTGAGTTGTGACTCATCTGCCTAGGAGCCACTGAGACCAGAACTTGAACTTGTTCAAGCCATGAGAGGATGAGGCCAGTTAGGGGTCATCAGGATGCCCTTATGGTATTATGTTAAGACTCCCTGGTGAGTTACAGGTTTTACTCTGATGCCTGGTGAGTTGTCTAGAGGGATAGGGCAGTCATAGAAGGGGAACTGGGGCCACAGCGGTGAAAATGAGAATTGGAGCTCTTTCTTATTATATCCTACTTTAGTGAAGCTGTCAGAATTTAGATTCTGGGGAGGAGAACCACTTCCCCCATCCCTGCCATCCTGTGGAAAAAGGGAAAGAGACCCAAGGCTTTCTTTGTCTCAGTAAATTACTATAGTTTGCTGTAAATGTGTGGGATTGTTCTATATTTATAGGAGCTTTGGGTAAGGTTTACTCTCTGTGGTTTTACTCCCTTCTGGAGTAACACATGTTGGTTAAATTACTTTTCTCCCAACCTCTTTCCCCGTCAAACTCAAAATTCATACCTGCCTTTTAAACAATCCTCTGTTTTGGGCATAGAGTTTCTCAAGCTCTTTTGGTGCACCTGAAATTAGCAGTTGTATATTTAATATGCTTTTATTTCTTTTGATAGTGTCTTAGAAAACTCAATCCCAGAATTGGAGATTTTTGGTTTCAGTGCCCTAAGTGGACCTGCCATGGATGTACCTAATTTTTTTTTTTTTTTGATACTGGGTATTGAACTCAGGACTTTGTGCTTGTGAGGCAGCCATGGTGTCATTGAGATAAATCCCCAACCCATATAATGGGTTTTGAGATGCTACTAAGGTAGGGTTTCAGAGCTGATTGAAGTAGACATTATAAGGCCTTGAAATACCCAGCCTTACCACCTTCTGAAGTTCTCCAAATCATCACTGTTATGAATCCTTTGAGCCCCCATTAACAGCAGCACGTGGCACAGGGGTGGGGCAATAATACATGAATATGCTATCAGCCAGGGACACATTGCTGTCATTTTATCAGAAGGAATGGCTGTTGTCTTGCAAGGAATAGATCTAGTTCCAGAGAGGGGAAAGAAATAGGAAGTCAGGCCTTGCTTACCTTTTAAGCTACTACACCCCCCACCATGAGATTCTATTCATTGTAGATTCTTAATGAAAATCCATGGAAAGACATTTTATTGAGTACAGGTAAAGTGGTCTAGAGTTTGAGGTTCCTCTGTGTTGAATTTGCTCTTGGGACTCTCTGAAGAGAAACTTCAAGAATTTTGCTGCTGTCAAAATAGAGCAGAAAACCAGGGCCTAGAATCTTATTCCTTTTATTCTCTGTAACAACTTTTCTCTCCTGACCTGCTGTTCTCTATTTTGCTAAGAACTTTGGAAAAAAAAATCATTAACGCTGTGCACAGAGTGCCTAGGTGGTTATTACACATGCTGTCCGCAGTGGTTTAGCGAGGGAGGTCTGGACTTGCCCTTTTCTTTTCTTTCTTTGTTTTTTTTTTTTGGTACCGGGGATCGAACTCAGGACCTTGTGCTTTCAAGGTAGGCACTGGAACCACTGA